GATACAAATGTAGTGATCTGAAGGCATACGTGCACCCCAATGTTTATAGCAGCAATGTCTGCAATAGCCAAACTATGGAAAGAGCCAAGATGTTCATCGACAGATGAATGGATAAAGAGGATGTGGTATATATATACACACACAATGGAATATTATGCAGCCTTCAAAAGGACTGAAATCTTGCCATTTGCAATGACGTGTATGGAACTGGAGGGTATTATGCTGAGCGAAAAGCATGAATCATATGACCTCCCTGATATGAGGAATTCTTAATCTCAGGAAGCAAACTGAGAGTTGCTGGAGTGGTGGGGGGTGGGAGGGATGGGTGGCTGGGTGATAGACATTGGGGAGGGTATGTGCTATGGTGAGCACTGCGAATTGTGTAAGACTGTTGAATTGCAGACCTGTACCTCTGAAACAAATAATACATTATATGTCAAAAAAAAAAAGAAGAAGAAGAAGATAGCAGGAAGGGAAAAATGAAGAGGGGGAAATCAGAGGGGGAGACTAACCATGAGAGACTATGGACTCTGAGAATCAAACTGAGGGTTCTAGAGGGGAGGGTGATGGGAGGATGGGTTAGCCTGATGATGGGTATTAAAGAGGGCACGTACTGAATGGAGCACTGGGTGTTATATGCAAACAATGAATCATGGAACACTACATCAAAAACTAATGATGTAATGTATGGTGATTAACCAAACATAATAACAAAATTAAAAAAAAAAAGAAGACACACAGATGGCCAACCAACACATGAAAAGATCCCCAACATCACTAATCATCAGGAAAATGCAAATCAAAACCATGATGAAAGATCTCACCTCACACCTATCAGAACTGAAAAGACAAGTATTACAAATACTGGTGTGGATGTGGAGAAAAGGGAAACTTGTGCACTGTTGGTGGGAATTTAAATTGGTGTAGTCACAATTCAAAACAGTATGGAGATTCTTCAAAAATTTAAAAGCGGGAGTACCATAATATCCAGAAAATCCACTTCAGGGTATCTAGTTGAAGAAAATGAAAACATTAACTTGAGGAGGTGTATGCACCCTTTGTTTATTGCAGTATTACTTACAATAGCCAAGATATAGAAGCAACCCATGTGTCCATATATAGATGAATGAATAAATAGAAGCATCATATATATGCAAAGGGATATTCCTAACAGATAAAAAAGAATGAAATTCTTTTTGATGGACCTACAAGGTTTTATGCAAATAAAATTAGTCAGACAAAGGCAAACACTGTATGATTTAACTGGTAATGTAGAACTTAAAAACAAACACAGAAAACAGAAACAGACTCATATGTAGAGAGACTATAGCTGCAATTGCCATAGGGGAGAGGGCAGGAGGGTTGGCTGAAAGAGGTGAAAGTAAGTCAGTGGTGTAATTTCTCAGTATAAAATAAATAAGTCACAGGGATGTAAATTACAGCACAGGGAATATAGCCAATAACACTGTATTAATTTTTCATGGTGATAGATGGTAATGAGCTTTATCACGATGATCATAGCATACTGTGTATAAATTTTAAATCCCTATCTCTGCACCTGAAACTACTATAATATTGAATGTCAACTATACATCATTAAAAATAAATACATAAAAATAGGGGCGCCTGGGTGGGCTCAGTTGGTTAAGTGACTGCCTTCGGCTCAGGTCATGATCCTGGAGTCCCTGGATCGAGTCCCCCATCGGGCTCCCTGCTCAGCGAGGAGCCTGCTTCTCCCTCTAATCCTCCCCCCTCTCATGTACTCTCTCTCTCTCTCATTCTCACTCTCTCAAATAAATAATCTTTAAAAATAAATAAATAAATAAATAAAACATAAAAATAAAAATAAAATTATCACCTAATTTTGCAAAAAAACCAAAAAACAAAAACCCAGAACTATAGACTGATAGAAATATACATACAAATATCCTCAAAAATTATTCACAAATTAAATCCAAGAATTCCATTGATGCAAACTAGGTAATTTAGATTTAATGTTTTATTTCTTTGGATGTTCATGTATCCTCTAATTGTGTTTTAAAAGTACTTTGTCCTCTCTCAATTTTTTCAGTTAGGTGAAATTTTCAAAAATTACATTCATTCCCCCCGCCCCATATAGCTAACCTTAGGCTTTTCTCATTCATAACAAGTATTCCTATTAAAATAGAATCAACTTGTTATCATTGGAGGATGACTCAATGAGTAATATGAGCAATTATTTAATATTCAAATCTTTGGCATGGTGCTATTTTTCAGTATTGTTCAATATTGTGTCCTTCCCACAGGCATTTAGTTTTTTTCAGCAGGAACCTAGATAACTTACTTACAAATAATAAGATGGATTGCAGGTATATTAAAACTAAGGCAAAACATTGAGAAGATAAGTTTGGAAATTGATGTTTTTGTGACAGTTACAATAAAGTTGAAAATGTAGTGAGTCTTCAAAACTAGTGTCAAATATTATTAAGTACCTGTTAAGGGGATGATGATTAGAATATTTTCAGTACAACAGAAATGACATAGCAAAGGCATAAGAAAAAGAAATATGTAACGGAAGATTTAGCAAACTTGTCTAAAAGCAAAACTTAAACATCTAAGATATTTTCACAAGGCCTAAGTTCCCAGTGTTTGTGAATCAGAGGGAAGCAAGTTAACAGCTGGGTGGTCAAGTCTCTGACTCCAGTATCTTCTGGAACATAAAAATTTCTCAGAGGTACTTGTCAATGGACAAAAGAAATGACACACTACAAACTGAAACTGTGTATATTCTAGAGGTGTGTGATGAGATAACGGTCTTCAAAATAGGCCAAGTGTAAGAATTTCCTGTTCAAATTTTAAGTGACACATTGATGAGAAATCTACTTTTTCCACTATTGCCTCACTCTGAGCTCTCACAGGGTCAGCAGTCTGTGAAGACCACAGATATTGTTTGTTTACAAGAGTAACCTGGTCTCCCACTGAAAGATGCCCGACTCTCTGGCCAACAGAAGGTATGTGTCACTACTCTGCTCTCTCTCTACTAGTCACCTCATTTAGTGGGAGACATAAATGCTGGATGGGACGCCCCTGAAGCACAACAAATATACAATCAAATCACAGAGAACATTGGTATCTTTATTCCAACAGTCCAGGGTAACAGACAAGAGTAAATATGAAATACACTGGAGAATTTCTTAAAATATTCAAATTCTTGCCTGTGGAGAAGTAATTAAGTGCATATATACGCACATAATTGTGTTTTCAAATCAATATTCAAGTGAAATCCCATAAGCATCATGATAAGGAACAGCTAATTTGGGGGTTGTCATCAATATAGATATAATTACATATATTATTTGATATTTAGCCCAGTCTTTAAAAATAAATTCTTAAAACAGATGAACATAGGTGAAGGGAAGAAAAGAGAGGGAAGGAAACCATAAGATATTCTTAACTATAGAGAAGAAACTGAAGGTTGCTGGAGGGGAGAGGGACTGGGGATGAACTAAATGCATGATGGGTATTAAGTAGGGCACTTGTAGTGATGAGCATTGGGGGTTATATGTAAATGATGAATCACTAAATTCTACTCCTGTAACCAATATCATACTATATGTCAACTAACTAGAATTATATAAATATTTGAAAAATATAATTTCTTAAGATGAATCCATCAAATCATAAAAGCCAAATGTAATTCCTCATATAGTTGCTTTGATAAATGAAAGTTTGATTTTTCATGAAAAGCAAAATGAGGTACCTCTGGAAAATGCTAATTTAAACTTAAGTATGAAACAATTTAAAAACTTTTTAAAAAATTGAACAAAACTTGGCAAAAAAAGATATTTAATACTGAAAGACATTCCTATCTAATGGATTAGGTTACATGCTCTAAAGGATATGAATCAGTAATGATACTGTGACTATTGTGTTAAAAATACTTAAAATAACTAATATACTATTGAGATCTTAGAAAAGCTGGACGGGATATTAAGTGCTTTATGTGCATTATATTTTATGTATATTTAATTGCCATTTTAGGTTAGTATAAACTAGGTGGCTAGACAGGAAGTAACTTCTTAAAGGTCATACTTTGTAAGTTTGAGAGCCAGGAGTAATTCCAGATTTCACTGACTGAATATTTATTTCATTTATTAGAATTCCTCAAACAACTAAAGCTTCCTTACTGCCTATGACATTCACAGGTCTTTCTGGAAGTTCGTACCAACAGTGTTCTTTCATAAATGATCTACACTTTTATCTATCATTTTATGGTTTCATATCTTTACCATTAAATCAGTTGTCAATTTCTGTTGTTAAATAAGTACTTTTAAAAAATAATTTTTGTGTTTTTGTTTTCATTACTGCTCAAGTTTTGGATAAGTTTACTGTGTCATGTAACATTTTTCAACATATAAAATATTTTTTTTTAAATTTAATGATTTCTCAGAGCTCCACAATTATTCAAAATAAAGACCACTTGATTGCACTACATGACCTTTTAGTAAAAAAATCTAAATCCCCCAAAAAAGTCACTTACTACAGGAATTTCCTAGGTGTTCAAAAACTAGTATTCCCTAATCTAGGGGACTCAATTTTTTAAGCCAATAATGCATTTAAAACTTGTCAAAAAAATTGGTGCAGTATTCTCTAACACAGCATTTTAATAACCCAGTTATTCTAATAATGTTGACATGTTTCTGTGGAATCTGACCTTACATTAATAAGGACAATATTATTCATGAATTCTTTTCTTCTTCACTAATTTATTGCTTTACATTTTTCCAATCAATACTATTGTGTCAAACATAATCATTGTAAAAACCACTTATTCTATTATGAAACCCTTCTTTAAAGCTCTAAGGTAACTAGTACCAGATTTTACATTGTCCAACTGCAAATGAGTACTATCACTTACCACACACTCCACCCAGTGTGACTGTCCTAGCAATCTTGTCATTACGTACACTATTCATCAAGTCCTTCAGTGCGATCCCATTCAGCACTGTGCCTGACACTACTCAACTGCAGAGATGAATAACCAAGAAGTTACCTATGCAGAACTCAATCAGGTTAAGGGCTCAAAAAGACATCAAATGAAAGCTAAGGGCACTAAAAGTTCCATTTCAGTAACTGAGCAGGAAATAACCTACGCAGAATTAAATCTTCAAAATGCTTCTCAGGATCTTCAAGGCAATGGCAAAAATTACCCGTGGAAAGGTAAAACAATACACACATAGTCTAACTGTTCTAGGATGTGCAGTTGGGGTCCAGGGGTGTAGGGAATGAGTAGGGAATGATCTCCCATATTTTTCATTTGTGAGGATCAGAGCTTGGAGCTGGAACATGGTATTGTAATTGAAATCTGAGGACAAACCTTATTTAAGTCTTATAATCCATGGTCTTTACCTAATCTCATGGGGGTAATATATTTACTGCAAATGTAATGGTATATTCTGAGAGAAGATTACAATGGTAGTTACAGGTTTGGGGTCCAAATTTTTGTATGTGATTCCTTGTGCGTTGTTGGGTCTTTTGTATGTAAATTTCCTAAATGATTATTTCCATCCATCCTTTCTCAGAATTTTCATTTCTCTTCCTACTATGTACCTTCATGTCCAGGGAAGCTCATTGCTGGGATCCTGGGAATCATCTGCCTTGTCTTGATGTCCACTGTGGTCACAATAGCTGTTATTCTCTGTAAGTAAGTGTTTGAATGACTACAAGGGAATGTTTCACTTTAATGATCATCAGTGCCTCGAAATGTTGCACAGTATTATGGAGTTGTATTATCTCATTTTAATGCATGTTGCTCTAAGTGTGGAATGGTTATTCTGAATTTGTCAAAAGTAGACATAACAGAATAATTATAGAGAGTATTACACATATATTCGGATTTCATAACTCAAATGCAAGCTATAGGAGAGATGTAATTGAGATATGCAAATTAATTCTTGAGATGGGTTAAACCAAATATTGTAAAAGACTGTGAGATCGGTTCTTTAAACTTTTGAATTATCTTTGCCCACATGTTCATTATTTATTCAATTTTTATGGGTAAAATCTATTTTATTACAGAGTTTTCTCATTCTTAACCATACACCAAACTTCAAACTAAGAAACTCAAATCATAGTGATTTATTTAGTGTAATATTAACTTTATTAAGTTTTATGAGGATTCTCTTAATTTTTTTAGTTCCTGAAGGACCAGTGCAGAACAAAGCGTCCTTGGAAACAAAGACCCATAAAGGTAGAACATCATTTTCAAAATGATATTAGGATAATTTATATTTTATCTCTATCTTAAGCTAGACAAGGATGATAATAGATGCTTTTGGGGAAAAATGAATTAGAAAATTGCATAATAAATTTTCAGAAATAATGAATATAGGAGAGTATTACTTTTTATGCAACAGTATGAGGAAATATTCATTTAAAATCACCATACGCGGGGTGCCTATATGGCTCAGTCAGTTAAGTGTCTAACTCTTGGTTTTGGCTCAGGTTGTGATCTCTGGGTCCTGGGATTGAGCCCCATGTCAACTCCATGCTCAGCATGGAGTATGCTTGAGATTCTCTCTCCCTTTCTCTCTGCCCCTCCTGTTCATGCTATCTCTCATATAAATAAATAAATCTTAAAATAAAATAAAATAAAGTCACCTAGTCATTGTTACCAATGGCCTCAAATTTCCTCATGCTATAACACAATAAGAGATAAATCTTTATGCAATTCCAAAAAAGTGGTCTTGTTCCATGACTCAGAGCACATGTAGAGATGGACATTTTTGTATGTTTGCTTCATATGGGCACATAAATTAGGGGGGAAAGGCTGACTCTTCTAGGAGTGTGCGTGTGTTTTGTTTTATTTTTGCCAGCTTGTGAGGGTAAATTGATGTGTTGTATACACATTTGTGTATACATATGCAAGTTGTAAATTTGCAAGTTTTAATATTCAAAGCCTTTTGGATAATATCTCATAATCTTTCTCCAGCATGTCATTGTCCAAAAGAGTGGATTACATATTCCAACAATTGCTATTACATTAGTACTGAAAGAAAATCATGGAATGAGAGCTGGTCGTCCTGTGCTTCTCACAGCTCTAAACTGTTCTACTCGGATGATAAAGAAGAAAGGGTGAGATTTCAAATGTTTCCAGATTTTATTAAAAGCTTATCATTTAATATTATACTTGTAGAGTTCATCCATATATTTGTACATATTTCTTGTTTATTTTAAAGTCTGTTACTATTCCATTGTTTGACTCTATGATATTTATATTTTTATACTTTTTTTTAAAGATTTTATTTATTTATTTGAGACAGAGAGAATGAGAGAGATAGAGCACATGAGAGGGGGGAGGGTCAGAGGGAGAAGCAGGCTCCCTGCCGAGCAGGGAGCCCGATGCGGGACTCGATCCAGGGACTCCAGGATCATGACCTGAGCCGAAAGCAGTCGCTTAACCAACTGAGCCACCCAGGCGCCCTATATTTTTATACTTTTAATGTATATTTTATAATTTCCAGTTCTTGCTTTTCAAAGAAAACCATACTTCAATAAATGCTCTTTTACCTGAAATAACCTTACTTTTTTTTAACACATCAAGAAAACTAAATATATGAATGTGCACAATCATCACAAAATAGAAGCACACAATTACAAATCAGATCATGAACGATAAGTTTAGAGTCTCTTCTAGCCCTGCCAATTTTAATAATGTGAAATATCTTCGATTATTTTGGGGCTTTATATTGATGGAATCGTGCAGTATGCATTTTTATGTGTGTCTCCTTTGGCTCTCATATTTGTAATCCAACTGTATTATCACATTTGTCTATATTTTGTGAATTTTCACTGCTGCTGTCTTATATAAATATGACATTTAAAATCTGTTCTCAGAAATTTAGTTCCATTTTGGTGTGTGGATATTATGAATAATTATGTAATGAAAGGCCTTTTCTATGTCTTTTTCCACATATTGTATTTATAATAATTTATTATACATAACTACATTGTAAATGGTATATTTCTAGAATGTAAATATTGCATTTTTCATAATAAAATAATGTATAAATATAACATTATAATTGTATTTACATATAATTATAATACATTTTCTTCTAAGCATTAGTATGAAACTGCATGGTCATAGATACGTGTCTTTCAATATATTAAATTATCCCTACATTTATCTAGTGTATTGTGTAAATACACATTGTACAAATAGTCCCTTGATCCAAAACTCTGTAGTCTCATAAAATTGAATACAATTAAGTTCTGGTGATTATATAACAGTATCATTTTTCTGGACTGTGAGTCATTAGGATATTCTCTTTGGCGAGAATAAAAAGAGTTCAAGTGTGTCTTTTGCTCATTTCTCCTAATGGTGTTTTCTTTTGTCTTCTTAAAAGTCCTTGTCGTGTTTTAAATACAAGCACTTTTTTGGGTTTATGAGATGGAAATAGCTGTATCTTGCATTTTTACTCCCCTATTGGAGTCTTTTAATGATCCAAATTTTAATATTATCATGGTCCAATTTATCATTTTGGGTGTTAGTGATTATTTTGGACCTATTTCAGAAGTTACTCAAAATTCATGAATATAATTTCCTATATTACTTTCCTGGATTTATCTTTTTTTTTGTTTATTTATTTTTTAACCTTTAGTTAGGGTTTATGATCCACTTGGAATTTATTTTTTGTGACGCTGTGTTTTTAAGCCTGGGAGATAAAAATGAAGGTTACACTTTTCTACATCATGACCTAATTGATGGAGCATAATTTACAACAAAGTAGATCTTTTCTTCATACATAACTTTATACATTTAAAGTTAGATATATGGCCATATGTGTTCTAATCTGCTTTATGTAAATAATATAGATATGAGATATCTCTGTATAAATAATTATATACACATATATCAGTCTACACAGTCTGTCACAACCCACAGCACTTTGACTAAAATGTAGAGCCTTACCTTCCTTGATGTCCCTTTACTGTGTCTCATTTCTACTAGAATTGTCTTAAATGTTTTCTACTTATATTGAGAATCACATGGATGTTATAATTTTGTTTCAACTGATGATTTTGCTTCAAATATCAAACAATTTAGACAATACAAGAGGTGAAGCAAATTCATTAGACCTAATGATAGTTTTATCCTTTCTTTGGTTGTCTCCTTCCTCCTGATGATCCAAGATTCCTTCTGTTATCATTTAATTTCTGTTTAGATATTTCCCTTTAGCAGTTTTTTCAGAGTGCATCTGGTGGTGACACATTTTCTTAGTTTTCCTTTATCACAGACTGTCTTGATTTCCCCTGCTTTCCTGAGTGATATTTTTGCTAGGTAGTCAATGATTTTTGAAATAATACACTTAGCTTCTACATTTTTTTGGTCTTTCTAGCATGCATTTTTTCCATTATTTTGACTGGAGAGAAAAAAAATTGGGGGGACTTTTGTCTGTACCCATTGGAGTCTGTGTTTGCTCACCAGTCTGAGCTATGTGATAAAAAATAAATTCCAGGGCATTCACCGCCATGTCATTCCTTGGAGCTGGGGTGCCCAGTTCTGTCAGTTTTCTCATCACCTGTTTGAATCTTATGTTGTTTTGTATATAACGTCCCGGTATTTTAGCTGTATTTGGTGGAAGGAATAGGGAACAGTATATCCTCTCTATCTTGCTGGAACAGGAATTCTGATATGTAGTGGTTTTAATATGAATGTTCCTAAGACTAATAGTGTTAAGCATCTTTCCCTGTACTTGTATTTGCCATCAATGTATGCTTTTTGGTGAAATTATCTTGAAATATTTTGGTAATATTTTTACTTTTTGCTATTGTATTTTGAGAATTCTTTATGTATCCTGGCAACAACTATTTTATTAGATGTATGATTTGTAAATATTTCCTCTCAAGTCTATGACTTGTCTTTTTCTTCTCTTCAAAGAGCAGACATTATCTTAATGAACTACACTTCATCAATTTGTTCTTTTATGGGTCATGTTTTGTTGTTCTTTCTAAGAAATCACTGCACGACTTTAGGTCAGGTGTTTTTTCTAATACATCTTCTTGAAAGTTTATTATTTATACTTATGGTTGGTCAATGTTTAGCATTTTTGTACATAGTATAAGGTATATATTATTAATTTCATTTGATACTGAATTGTTTCCACAACATTTGTTGTAAGACTATACTTTCTCCACAGAATGACTTTGCATCTTTGTTGAAATCTACATTCCATATATGTGTAGGTATTAACTTTGCTCTTTCTCCGCAGTTTCTTTAATCTTGTATGTATTTTTATGTCAATCTATACTTTAAAAATCCTTTTGTAAACAGTGCATTTGTATTAGTTCTTTTTCAGAGTTATTATATCTATTCTAGATCTTTGCATGGTTGTTTACTTTTTATTTCTATCAGTTTAGTTTTTTTAAAATTAAGAATGAAAATTAGTTTTACCAGTTGCCTTCTGCATCAGAGAAATCACATCATTTGACCTTCTTTACTCTGCTAATGTGACAGATTAAGTTTATGTAATTTCATATGTAAATCCAACGTGGTATTGCTTCAGTAAATCCACTTATGTCATAGTCCATTATTTTTATATATTGTGAGAATCAGTTTATGATTGCCACTGACATGTAATTTCCTTTTTTTATTATTCCAAGAAAATGTACACAAAACATATTTTGTTAGACGCTTTTTTCTACCGTATAAGGTAGAAAGGGTTTCTTTTTGGTTTTTACCTGGTATTTCATTTTTCTTTACTCATAAGGATCTAAATATTCTGTAACTGAGTATGAAAAGCTATCTGAATTACAGATTAAGTTATAGTAGAAGTTAAGACACTTCTGATATTTTTATTTCTTTTTGCTTTGGTTTTCACAAGTTGTATTTGGTAGGGTTTTTTTCAATTTTATGTCTAGTTTTAAAGATATTTGCATATTTTCATAATATTCTATTATAGTAATTTTATTGGGGTATAATGTCCATACAGATGGTTGCACATGCAATACATGCCAACAGCTGGCTGAATTTTCAAGTGTCACCATCATATGAATGAGAAAATGAATATTACCAGCTCTGCAAAATGCCCCTTTCATGTTCTCACCTCCATTTATAAACAATTACATAAATAGAATCATACAGTATGCATATTTTATTTTTGGCATTTTCAGGGGAAACTGAACGTGTGTTTCATCCATATAGTTGAATTTGTAAATTGTCCCTACTCCTTGCTGTTCTGTTGTCTGATTCTACTGCAGTGTATTCATCCATGTTATTGCTAATGCTCTTGGATATTGGGTATTGATCCATTTGGAGCTACCATGAGTTATTCTACTGTACATACTTCACAATCAACTTTCAGCTAAGTATATGTTTATCATTTCTTTCTTCTCTAACTTTAATTGGCTCTTCTCTGTACAGCTTCTTGAGAGGGAAGATACTCAGATCATGCATTTTATAACATTCTTCCTTTTGAGTGTAAGTGACAAAACTATGAACTGTCTCTAAACACTACTTTATTTTTATTTATTTATTTATTTTTATTTTATTATGTTATGTTCATCACCATACATTACATCATTAGTTTTTGATGTAGAGTTCCATGACTCATTGTTTGCGTATAACACCCATTTAGTTCCACCCTAAAAGTCTGATATATTCTCAGTTTAGTATCATCCAGTACAAGGTATTTTCACAGATTTCATTTTTGAACTGTAAATTTTTCAGAAGTTTATCACTTTTCCACATGTTTGGAAATTTCCCACATTTCTTTCTATTGTTGCTTCTAATTTATTCCTTTGTCTTTGGAGTATATACTTTGAAAATTCCCATCCTTTAAATGTTTGATCCCTATTTATGACCTAGAAGAATAATTTCTATGTATGTCAGGTATGTCAGGCTGGTTCCTAGTGCTTTTACAGTCTTCCATAAGCCTCTGGATTTTGTGACCTGCTGTTCTCTCACTGCTTAAGGAAGAGCTTTTAAATCTCCAATACATGCATTGAATTGTTTATTTATCCTTCCAAGTCTGTCAGTTTCTATTTCATGTGTTTGAGGGTTCTGTTGTTAGGTGAATACTGTATGTTTATAATTATTTTATCTTCATCTCATATTGACAGCCTTAACGTGTTGCAATGTTTCTTTTAATTTCTAATAATATTTCTTGCTTTAACAGCTACTTTGTCTCATATTAGAATAGCCATTTGTGCTTACTTATGGGGTTACTGTTTGTAGGGTAGATCTTTTGTTATCCTTTTACTTTCACCTCTTTGTGCCTTTGAATCTAAAATGTGTGTATTATGGAAAGCATAATGATGGATCTTATTTTTTTTTAATTCAGTATGACAATTTCTATCTTTTGATTGGGATATTTACTTAATTAACATGAATGTCATTATTGGGATAGTTGGATTTAGGTCTCCCATTTTGCTATTCATTCTATGTTTATGTCTTGTTTTCTTCTTCTACCTTACCTGACATCTTTTGTATTAAACATATTATTTTAGTATTCCATTTTAATTCCTCTTTGGTGTCTTAGCTGTATTCTTAAGCTATTTCCTTGTAGTAAGTGGGTATAACAAAAATCTTTTGTTTGTTTTTACTGAGATGTAATTGACATAACAGTGTGTAAATTTAAGGCATGCCATGTGTTCATTTGATACATTTATGTATTACTGATTGATTACTATGATAATCTTAGATAATATCTTTCTCATGTTACTTATCACTTTTGTGCGTATTGAGAACAGCTAAGATTTAGTCTTAGCAACTTTGAAGTTTATAATACAGTAATGCTGATTATAATCCTATATTGTACATTAAACTCCCAGAACTTATTATGTACTAGTTGTAACTTTGTATTCTTAAACATCTCCCCAATTCCCATTCCTCACAGAACTTGGTAAATAGCCTTATACTTTTTGTTTTTACAAGTTCAGTGTTTCAGATTCTACATGTAAGTGAGACCATACAGTATTGGTCTATACCTGTCTAATTTTTGTCACTTACATAATGCCTTCAAGGTCCAACCATTTGTCACAAATGACAAGATCTCCTTTTTCATGACTGAATAATATTTCATTGTGCATATGTGTGTGTGTGTGTCTGTGTGTGTGTGTGTGTATAAAACACCTTCTTATCTGTTGGCAGATACTTAGGTTCCTTCAATAATTAGGCCATTGTGAATAATGTTGCAATGAGCATGGGTGTGCAGTATACCTTTGAGATAATGATTTCAGTATTTAAATATATATGTAGGAGTGACATTACTGAATATAATGGTATTTTTATTTGTAATTGCTTGAAAAAGAGCTATACTATTTTCCATTGTGGCAGCACCAATTTACATTTCCTCCAAAGGATTTCCTTTCCTTCAGATCCTCACCAATATTCGCTTATGTTTTTGGAAAAAACAATTCTAACAGGTGTGAGGTGACATTTTATTGTGGCTTTGATTTGCATTTCCCAGATGATTAGTGATTTTGAATACCTTTCTTATACTTATTGGATTGACCATTTTTATGTCTTCAGAAAAATGTTACTCAGCCCTGTGCCCATTTTTGAAATTGGATTATTTTCTTTGTTTTTATTGCATTGGTTGAGCTATTTATATATTTTAGATATTGGTCCCCTATCAGATATATAGTTTACAATATTTCTTCTGTTCTGTACATTATCCTTCAAAACATTTTGTTCTTTCCTTTGCTGCGCACAAGCTCTTTAGTTTAATGTGGTCCCACTTTTCTCCTTTTTAAAAAGATTTTATTTATTTATTAGAGAGAGAGAGCATGAGCGGGGGAGTGGGGACAGAGGGACAAGCAGGCTCCCCTCTGAGAAGAGAGCCCGATGCAGGGCTCGATCCCAGAACCTTGGGATCACGACCTGAGTCAAAGGCAGACGCTTAACCAACTGAGCCACACAGGCATCCCAGGACATATTTTTAAGTTATTGTTTCCATGCGGGACACTGGTTCCAGCTGGAGGGGGATAACATTGATAAGACAAAGGAATAAGAAGCTCTGGGCTCTCTCTCTCTGTAGAGAGAGAGAACATGAGCAGGGGGAGTGGGGGCAGAGGGACAAGCAACTCCCCACTGAGCAGAGAGCCCTATGTGGGGCTCAATGCCAGGTGGAAGCTATATCACCCATTCCATAATTTTCACACTGACTTGAGTCTCACATGATCCACCTTGTTCCCTCAGGAGTATTTCTTTGTCTGTGTTTGCATGTGTTCTTCAGTCATTTCATTATGTATTGAGTTGTGGATTTCTATGTGTTAATTCTATTATTAGTTTGCTGAGTCTCTGTGGTCCATAAATATTTTTAAATGATATTTAAGAAGTTGTTCATTCATTGTGACTTATGATTGTTTTTTTGCTTTCCTCCCCCCTGCTTATCTTCTCCTTCTCAAATTGTATTTAGAACTATGATGTTTTGGGTTTTTTTTAAAGATTTTATTTATTTATTTGACAGAGAGAGACACAGCGAGAGAGGGAACACAAGCAGGGGGAGTGGGAGAGAGAGAAGCAGGCTTCCCGCCGAGCAGGGAGCCCAATGTGGGGCTCGATCCCAGCACCCTGGGATCATGACCTGAGCCAAAGGCAGACGCTTAATGACTGAGCCACCCAGGCGCCCCAGAACTATGCTGGTTTTCCTGATACTGTTTTGAAGGTTTCTGAACTCTGTTAATTTTTCTTTTTTTTTCTTTCTCATTTTATGAGATGAATAAATTCTGTTATTCTTTCCTCAATTTCCTCAATTTTTTCTACTGTATCTCAAATTCTCTGGAGAGCCCATTTAGTGAATTTCACTTAGGTATACAATGATAAACTAAGAATTTCTCTGTGGTTTATTCATATAGTTTTATTTCTCTATTGATATTTCCTATTTGCTATATTGCTGCCATCATATGTTAATTTAATTATCTGAACTGTTTTCTTTCTAATTTCCATATATTTATAAACAGTACTTAAAATACTTTTTTTCTAGTAAATATAATATCTTATCCCAGTAGAAGTTTATATTGACCCATACATTCCTTTAGTGTAGAAGATATTTGCCATTTCTTTTCATGTTTTTTTTTTAATCTTTTAGGTAGATACTTTTGATAATGTAATTTAGTAAACATGCATTCTATTTCATATTCTTAGATTTATATTTTGTATAAGTTGCGTACACTTTACTGCTGGATCTTCTCCCCTATAATCTGCCTGCTAATATTTTTTTCAGTATTTCCAAATTCTTATTCTTTTAGCCTACTTTCTTAGGGATTGCACTTGTGATTTTGTAGCTTAGATGTTACTTGCAAGATTTTTTTAAAAGACTGTGTTCCAGAACTGCAAGTCAGTAGGGCTTCCAAACTCTGCCATGTGATGTGTGTGTGTGTGTGTGTGTGTGTGTGTGTGTGTGTGTGAGAGAGAGAGAGAGAGAGAGAGAGAGAGAGGAGTGCTCACAACTTGAATATCAGTTCTCGAGTCTCCTTCTGCTTTTACTTTCTACTGGGTTCATCTTGGTCTCTTCTCCATGTGTATATATTTTTTTCCATCAGCCAAGAGTGTATAGGGAGTTCATGTCAACTCTTCTGTTGTACTTTCACTAACAGTATTTTTCCTATTATATTTAAGAGGGTCACAGTGCTTGACAGGAAAATTTCTACCTCCAACTTTTTTTTTTCTGGAATGAAAACAATTTTATTGATACCTGAGAAAAAGTGCAGGAGAAATATTCCTAATGACCATGTAGCCTATCCCCTTGGGCCAGACCAGGCCAGGAGACTTCCCTTACCTGCGTTTGAGCCCTGGGTCATTTGGGGCCTCACTGACTAGCTCCCAAAGGCTGGAGAAGTCCACAAGAGTCTGGAGAGGCAGCATCTGCAGTCATGGCTCCAGAGGCTAGAGCAGGGTCCGTGGGAAGTCACACCATTCAAGATCTAGGGTCTCTTGGGTCACAGCCCCGAGTCTGATGGAAAACAACTCCACCCAGGCTCCCAGATCCAGGCAAGCGGGGCTGTCAACTGTTCCAGACACACATGGGTTTTCCTCATTCATTACCATGCAAAATCATCATGCTGCACTGAAAAGTCAATAAGCTATTTCACCCCCTTCCCCGATGCTAATCAAGTCTCCCCGTGACACCAGCACCATTGCTTTTGCAGCTTCTCCAAATTATAGAACCACAAGTCTCTGGATCCTTGAGCTCCGAGGGGCAGATAGAGAGGCATGGGAGCAGTGCTGGGCAAGAAGACTACAGATATGTTTTCTTCTTACTTGAATCTCCAGGGGGCGCCTGGGTGGCTCAGTTGGTTAAGCCACTGCCTTCGGCTCAGGCCATGATCCTGGAGTCCCGGGATCGAATCCCACATCGGGCTCCCCGCTCAGCGGGGAGTCTGCTCCTCCCTCTGACCCTCCTCCCTCTCATGCTCTGTCTCTCATTCTCTCTCTCTCAAATAAATAAGTTAAAAAAAAAAGAATCTCTAGGAATCTTTTCAAAAAATAGATATTTCACAAAATATTATTAACCTTTGAATATTTTTATAACATGTCCAGTGTGTAATATTATATTAAAATTTGAAAGATTCTATAAAGTAAGAAAGAATTAACTGTGTTTGTTACTACAAATTCAAATAAGAGCTCTTATTTGACTTCTAAAAAGAATTTGTTTTCTCATAGTGTTTGTTCAGCCACCTCATTCGTTCTTCATGGATTAGTAACGTTTCCCAGAACACCAATATTAATTCATTTGGGGGGCCAAAAGCCTCGACCTTCTCTCCTAAAGGGTAAGTTTCTTGACAATTTTTGTATTTTATGCCTTAAGAGGACTAATCTTAACAAATAATAAGTGCAGTATGTGAACAATTCTATAACACATGTGTTAAAGTGTTTCTATAGAAAAATGATACGGGAAATATTCAGATTTAGATGTACAGCTATTAGTCTAAATAAATTGTTCTTCAAAATGTTGTGATTTATATTTTTAAGAGTAATGAGATATAATTCTCTGTATTTCAGGCCGTCAGTTTCTTCAGAGAGTGACAAGGATTGTCCATTTTTCAACTTTGACTCAAACAAAACTTCTTCTGAACCCTGCTTAGATCTAAAAAAATATGTTTGTAAGCACTAGGCATTTTAGTTACCTAAGCTATCTCACCATCTATAAAGAACATATATCTCATTTCTTCAAAAGCCATAGAATTATTTTCTCAGAATATTTTCAAATACAATTTTTAGAGCAATTTTAGGTTTACAACTAAATTAAGAGGAAGGTACAGAGCTGTCCTATATTATCCCTGTATGCACACGTGCATGGCCTCTCCCGTTATCAGCATCATTCACTAGAATGCTTCATTTGTTACCAAGGATGAATCCACAGTGATGCATCAGAATCATGCCAAGTCCAAATTGTACCTGAGGTTTCACCTTTGGTGTTGTAGAACTTTTTTTTCAATCTTTATTTATATGTAAAATATATATGCCCAGGTACATATTATGCATTTCTTTAGCATTTGCTATTTAAATTATCGATAAATTGCACATCATAATATCAAGCACTGTCATTGTAAAGTCTTCAATAAGGTAATCAATCCACTCATCTTTCCAAATGAATTGATTTGTCCTAGCCCTTAAAGGGCTGCAAATAAGAGTTGAACAACCCAGGGTGGTGTGGTTATCAATCAGAATGAAAACCGGTCTGAAGACAGAAACTAGGGGAAGATTCATGTAAACAATTATTATCTATTTGTAAGGGAAAGCCTACTAAGAGGAAATGCTACTAAAATTAAAAATCATAAAGAGTTTCTTAGGGTTGAAGGAGAGTACACAAAGGAGGGATCACTGGGCAGCCACGTCTACTCTCTGAAGATGGGATTTAGATGTCATTGAAGACAATGTGGCTACATACAGTTTCATGGTAGACATGCTTATGGGATTGGCCTGAGACAGAGCAATTCCATCATCTACACATGAACTTGGTGAGGTTGGATCTCAGGCTGTGACTGGCAAGCAGGAGGAAACTGCCAGACTGTTGGGAGGCATAGAGCAAGGGCAGGAAACTTTGACTGCTACTGGCAACAAAAACTTGCTAGAGGCTGAATACATAGGACTTCCTGGATGCCTGCAGGTGGCTACCAAGCCAGAGCTGCCAAACAGCCTGAAAACACCATGAAACCAGGAAAAAGAGCTTTTTTTTTGTTGCAGTGTTTCTCTGTTGCCTTTTACCAACAAAACTCAACCTCATGTGAGCTGACAAGGAAGAGAAGTTTATAGGATCTAGCTCCATTATCTGAGAACAGGGCACAGAGGGATGAGTAGATTTAGAGCTGAGAGTACTCATTTGTTAACAAGCACCTAGGGTTATCATGCAACAACCACAGAGTTGCTGTATAAGAGTTATTCACATCTGTCCCACATCCTCAGAGAATGGAATAAACAGCTATCTCCTGAATCACTTTTCTTATAGTACTATCAAAATTAGGTTCATTTTATGGTAGAGATTGTTTTTCTCAATCATTAATAACCAGTGTCCTTCACTACTTTTTCTTGTGTGTTGTTTTCCTTACCTGGATTTCAGATATTTTAGAAGACATCTTGTTTTATTAAATTCCCCAAGTCCCCACTTCTGTCACCCTTACTCAGTCTAGAAAATACTTTGATGCAAAAAATAAAATGTTAAATAATGAAAAAAACAAGAATAAAAGTATAAAGATATTGTGTGAGTCAAACAGCTAGTTATTGCCAGAACTCATGACAAATTTAGTAATTTGATATTGATTCAGATATTTCTACCCTAGTTCAATTACAAGAGGGAGAGAAATTGAACTTAATTATTACTTGCAAAATAAATTCATATTTCACATACATTTATCTCTTTGATATAGACATATTCTTTTTTACACATATCCTTTTTTTTCTTAAGATTTCTAATTTATTTTTATTGCAGAGAGAGAGAGAGCACAAGCAGAGGGAGCAGCAGGCGGAGGGAAAGGGAGAAGAAAGCTCTCAGCTGAGCAGAGAGCTGGATGCAGGGCTGGATCCCAGGACTCTGGGATCATGCCCTGAGCTGAAGCAGAAGCTTAACCAATTGAGCCACCCAGGCACCCCTACACGTATTCTTTATATTCTCTGTACTGATTCCTTACACTCTAGTAGAGAAATTATATGAATATTCAAAATCAAACTCATATAATATGTAAATGGTAGCTGTAACTAATTGCTAAAGTTGTGCTACAAATAACCCAAGATTGTATTCACATTGAAAAATAAGCTTTTATTTCTCATTAACCAGTTTGTGCTTTGGCTGGATTTTAGTTGATCGAGGCTTGGCATGCATCATATAGATGCTTGCACCAGGATCCTTGATCAATTTACAAATGGGAATAAGTAGTACAGGGTAAAGTTTAAGGACATCAGCAGTGAAATCAGGCCTCTTCAATGTAATTTCTAAATGCAGACTCTAGGCTTGTGAGTCAGTTACATGACTGCTCTGGGTCAGTTTCCTGCCCTGGAAAATATGATAGATATATTATCTTACTCAGTTACTTGAAGATTATTTGAACAGTACCTCTTGGCAGACAAGTATTCACTAGATTAGACATTTTGACTTAAGAACTTGATGCTTCGTTTTCATCACCTGTGACGTGATGACCATAACTATAACCACCTCATAGGGCTGATGTAAGGAATCAAATATATAATGCCTGAAGATCCTTAAAATACAGCCTAATCACATGATGTTCTTGCTATATGTGATATCTTCATATTTTTTTTCAAATTTATTCAATAAAGACTGATTTCCAAGAAAACTGAAGCTCTAAAACTGTCTTCTTCCTTTCACCCAACCAATCTCTATTGTTACAATATATTAGTTTTACTGGGCATCAGAAATATCATCTGACTTAACCACTTATCATATACATCAAAGATATTAGCATTTCATTTTTTAAATTTTTTTCAATATTTAGCTGCTTTTATTAATTTCTTTTGGGTTCCTCTGTCATTCTTTTTTTATGTCATTAGTTTTCTTTTTTCTTTTTTTAAAAATTATTTAAATTCAATTAACATATTGTGTATTATTAGTTTCAGAGGCAGAGGTCAGTGATTCATCAGTCTTATGTAATACCCAGTGCCCTTATATCACATGCCCTCCTTAATGTACATCACCCAGTTGCCCCATCTCCCCACCCTCACTCAGTTTGTTTCCTATGCTTAAGAGTATCCTAATTTGTCTCCCTCTCTGATTTTATCTTGTTTTATTCCCCCCCTTCCCCTATGATCTTCTGTTTTGTTTCTTAAATTCCACATATGAGTGAGATCATATAATTGTCTTTCTCTGATTGACTTATTTTGCTTAGCATAACGCCCTCTAGTTCCATCCATGTTGTTGCAAATGGCAAGATTTCATTTTTTTGATGGCTGAGTACTATTCCATTGTATATAAATACCATATTTTCTTTATCCATTCATCTACGAATCTGGGCTCTTTCCATACTTTAACTATTGTGGAAATTGCTGATCTAAACATTGGGGTACAGGTGCCCCTTTGGATCACTGCATTTGTATCTTTGGGGTAAATACCCAGTAGTGCAATTGATGGGTCATAGGGTAGCTCTATTTTCAACTTCTTGAGGAACCTCCATACTGTTTTTCAGAGTGGCTGCACCAGCTTGCATTTCCACCAACAGTGTAAGAGTGTTCGTGTTACTTCACATCCTCACCAACATCTATCCTTTACTGACTTGTTAATTTTAGCTATTCTGACTGGGGTGAGGTGGTATCTCATTGAGTTTTTGATTTGGATTTCCCTGATGCCAAGTGATGTTGAGTATTTTTTCATGTGTCTGTTGGCCATTTGCATATCCATTTTGGTGAAATGTCTGTTCATGTCCTCTGCCCATTTATTGACTGGATTATTTGTTCTTAGGGTTTTGAGTTTGATAAGTTCTTTACAGATTTTGGAAACTAGTCCTTTATCTGATAAGACATTTACAAATATCTTCTCCCATTCTATCAGTCATCTTTTGTTTTTGTGGACTGTTTCCTTTGTTGTGCAAAAAGATATTTACATTTTAAAACAGGGTTTTAAAAATTCAATACATGTCATGTATGGGCACTAAACAAGAGTAAGTCTTTCTGGACATGCATTTACATTTTTGAAATCAAGTTGCAATTACTGTTCTTTCTCTTATTGGTCAAGAATCCCAGTCTCCTCATCCAATGTGTTACTTTTGACATATAAATGGTTGTCTCTTTTGGAATTGAAGACATTTTTAAAGGGGTTGTCAAGGTTTGACAAGATAGTCTGTTTGATTCCTAGATTTGGGGAACCTACTGGGGCCTAGAGGAAGAAGACACTGGAATGTCCTTTTCCTTCCAGTGTTGAGTATCCCATCCACACATATGTATTTCTTACCATGGAGAATGGAGAAAAGTAAGAAAGAAATTTTTTAATATTAACATTCTGATGTGGCACACCTCCCAATTTCCTCCCAAAGTATTTTTACATATCTACATGCTTCTTAAAAAGGTGCCTAATGTTTTATGTGTACTCATAAGAAGCCATGGGAAATCTTTGGTAGAGTGAGCATAAGTGGAGGATCCACCAAAAGCACTTCTTGCACTGCAGGCTTGCTGGTGATGGATGTTCTGAGTAGTTGTTTGAAAATGTCTTAATTTACTTTTGTTGTGGAAGACTATTAATGATATTGAATTCTGGGTTGGCAGGGTTTTTTACTTGAGATGAATATTGTATTATCTCCTACACTTTATTGTTTCTAATGAACTTCTAGGCATATATTGTTATTCTCTCATTGCTTTCAATATTTTCTATCTGTTTCAGAAGTATGACTACAATGTGCCCACATGTGATTTAGTCTTATTTTTTTATTTGGGTTTTGCTGGGCTTCCTGAATTTAACTTGGTGTTTTTCAACAAATTTGAAATAGCTTCAGCCATTATTTCTTCAAATAACCTTCTGCTAATTGTTTCCCTCTCCTTGTAAGTTCTTAATTATACATGTCATAACTTTTGATATCACATTGCTCTCTCTTGTAAAAATTATTTTTGATCCCCTCTCAGATTCCATTATTATTCTTATCCAGTCCAGAACATTTGAGGGGACAAAAGCTAGATATTTACATATTGCCTTAGGAGGAACCACAAAGAACCAATGGTTGTAATTAAGGGCAGAGCAACACATTTTAAATTCTAAACTCTTATTTTATCTCTAACTTTACACTCATTAATTATCAGAAAATAAAATTTTCAGATTAATTTGGTACATGAGACTGGACTGACACAACATTGTCCTTTTTGCATTTTCTTTGGAACTGAGTCCCTGCAAAGAATACACTTTCTGCTCTACTACAACAACAGTAAATTATAAAAGGGCACCATCTTCCTCTGGATTTAGTACTGAAATAAGTAATGTTTAAGACTGGGATCTAGAATAACAAGGCTGTTATGTTCAACACCTAATGGGTATTCTCAGAAAGTTATATATGGAGAAAACTACCATATTGATCCCTATATCCCTGACTTCTCTGAAACTATTTCTTTCTTTCCTTTTATTTATTATTATTATTTTTTTAATATTCAGGGGTAAAACTTATTGATTCATCAGTTGCATATAATACCCAGTGCTCATTACATCAAGTTCCCTTCTTAATACTCATCAACCAATTATCCCTTCCTCCCACCCACCTCCCCTCCAGCAACCCTCAGTTTGTTTCCTAGAGCTAAGAGTCTCATGGTTTGCCTCCATCTCAATTTTCATCTTATTTTTTCTTCCTTCCCCTATGTTCATCTCTTTTGTTTCTTAAATTCCATATATGAGTGAAATCATATGGTATCTGTCTTTCTCTGAATGACTTATTTTGCTTAGCATAACACCCTCTAGTTCCATCCATGTTGTTGCAAATGGCAAGATTTCATTTTTTGATGGCTGAGTAGTATTCCATTGTATATAAATACCATGTCTTCTTTATCCATTCATCTGTCGATGGACATCTGGGCTCTTTCCATAGTTTGGCTAGTGTGGACATTGCTGCTATAAACAATGGGGTATTAGTATTAGTATTCCTTTGGCAGATTCAATTTAGACTGCCTCCCCTTAAAATGGATATAGTATTTTCCAGACTAAAAAAATGGGTTAAAAAATCTTATGTTTCTTATTTATAAATCTCCAAATATAATTAGCACATAAAAATAAAGCTCTAGACTTTCATGCCATAGTCATTGCCATTACCTTCCTCATAGTAAAAAAAAAAAAAATCCTAACGTACAGTTTATCATATGCAAAATTATTTCCCAGATTTCAGCAATCATTATTGCAGAAGAAAAACTTCTGCGGTTATTCTCCACCCAGGCCATATAGGATTTTGAAGCTATGATCAAAATTGAAAATCATGGGGTTCCTGTGTGGCTCCATCATTAAGCATCTGCCTTCAGCTCAGGTCATGATCCCAGGGTCCTGGGATCGAGCCCCGCATTGAGCTCCCTGCTCTGTGGGAAGCCTG